AACTACACTACAATACTGTAAGGTACACTAGACTACAGTAAAGTACAGTACATTACACTATAGTACAGTGCAGTACTGGAGACTGTACTACATCACATCATAGTAGATTAAAGTACATCACACCGAACTACACTACAGTAAACTACAGTACACTAAGCTACACTACAGGACAGTACACAACAGCTCACTGCACTACAGTACAGTACGGTAAAAGACACTACAATACAATACACTATGCTACAGCACAGTAAAGTACACTGTAACAGAGTACACAACAATACAGTACACCATAGTACACTAAGCTACAGTACAATACGCCACACTACAGTAACGATCGTACACTACAGTACACTAGGCTACAATATACTACACTGCAGTATGCTACACTACACTAGACCACAGTACACTATAGTACAGTACACTACAGTACACTACAGTACAGTAGAGCAGAGTCGGCGCCCCCTACAGGCTGCTGCGCTCATTAAAGCCACAACAAAACACTGCTGGATCAAACACACAACACGGCGTCCAACTAGAAATATGTAGTAACACTGAGTTAGTCGCTGAGATCAGTAATCTGTCACCTGTGACGTGGAGGGAAAAGACCTTCAGTTTCACAGTTAGTTTCTCTTTCTGTTACTTTTATTCTCTTTCTGGTTTGGATTAGACAAAAAAAAACAGAAACGCTGTGGCTCGGTTTAGGAAAATATCTCACTTTGTTCAACATGTTGGTTAAGTTTAGGCCCCAAAATGTCACGTTTTACTATAAAAACAAAGTAAAACTGGCAAATATAATCTAAAGTACGTCCCGAAATTTAGTTTTAGCGAAGCCATGAAGGTCATTTTCCCTCTGACTCTGCATCCTTAGTTGTTGTTCTGTTTGTGGGCAGTTGATGAATCTGGAACCTGATCGTGGCCACCATGAAAAAAATAAATAGCCAAGTTAACAAGTGACATTTGAGCAATAAACCCAAACTGATCGCTAACTCTCTCAGTGCGAACGTGTCTGTTTCTAATGCGAGTTTGGTTGTTGGTGTCAGAAACCTGCAGGATGGAAACGCTCCACATGTCATTAGCGCTGATGGACCAGTCAGAGAGCAGCTCGTCTAAGTCACAGTTTCAGGCTGCAGGTCTGCCTGAACATGTGGAGGCATCTGGATGTGTTTACTCTGCACGCTGTATTTCATAATGTCGCCCTCCTACATCTCCTTATGTCACACAGCTGTTTGCTTCTTTATGTTTATTGTTTGAAGTTGACTAAAAAAGCCTCGAATGTGGAAAACATTACCGCCGTCTCTTAATTTAAAACTCTCCTCTCCGGCTTGTTTTTTTTTTTTTTTGAGTTCACAATTCACTTTTTGTTTCAAGATGCTCTCGTTTTCCAGGTGGTAATTAGTCAGAAATGAACAATATAGACTAATTTTAGGGTTAATTTCAATCCACAAGACAAACGACCCGGTAAAGCACCGTTTGCCTCTGATTACAAACGTGGTTTTAAAGCAACGTGCCACGAAGCGCTTTGAAGCTCCAAGAATCATTGCTGTACTCCCTCAGTCGCGCTGGATCCGGATCAAAAACCTTTATCTTGTCTTATTTAACCAGTATTTTACGATCGTTTCTGGACTCGCCGGTGCATGTTTTCTTTTAAAAACCCACCCGGACCATCTGCGCAGCGTTAAAACATCGACCTACCATGAGGGAGTGTCTGTTGGCCGATAGCAGGCCCGTCCCGTAGCCGCTGCTCAGAGCTCCCATGGCGCCGTTGTGCGTATGTGCCGCCCCGATGAGGCTGTGCATGTCGCCGTGGCCGCTGGTCATACCCGTCGACGGTCCCACCGCGTGGCTCCGCAGTACGTGGATGGCATCGTCCAAACGCTCCAGGCGGTCCTCGATACGACTTTGCTGCAGAGAAGACGACGAGAAATCTGAGAAATGTTGCCGATACCATCTGGCCTCGTCTCCGCAAAATTACACATCTATACAACTAAACCGTGAATGTGATTTGTGAGCGGTGACGTGGTGGGAAAGGCGGTTGGTTTAAAGGTTTGCGTTAAAGTCGGGTTGCTGGTTGGTGATTGTTACCCAGCAGACCAAAGTTTGCTGGACAAGAAGCCGTCAAAACTGAGTTTCTGTTGTTGGTTATTTCTGATTTTACTCCCTTTCTGGTTAGATTTAGGTACACCAACTACGGTAGGTTTAGGAAAATATCACGCTTTGTTGGACACTTGTTGGATGCTTGGTTAAGGTTCGGCTCCGAAATTACTTCGAAAACACATCCTGGTTCAAATGTGCCTCAAAGTTACAAATGCAAAGACTCGTTTTTCAGGATCCCTCTGAGACAAGATGTTCTTATTTTTTGTTTTTCACTCGCTTTCTGGTTTGGTTGCAGAAAATATCACGCTTTGTTAGACATTTTTACACGTCAGAAGCTTGGTGAAGGTTTGGCTCCGAAATTACTTGGTTAGAGTTCGAAAAAATGTCCTGGTTTGGGTTCAAATGTGCCTTGAAGTTACAAACGCAGATACTAGTTTTTCAGCTGTTCCCAGTTTTGACTGGTGAGGGAAGGTCGTCCTAAAGACTTGTTCAATATGTGGGTTAAAAGACAAATCCAGTTTGAAAACAACTCGAAGGTGCTGGACGCCAGAGTCAATGTATGCTTAGATTGTGTGTTTTTGCAACCTGGTCTCCACAAACGTATGTTCTACTGCAACCAACCAAGTCTCAGAATCAGGTTTTGTTTCCTCTTGTTGTACATCTTCGTTTTTTACTCCTTACTGGTTTGGTTTCTGATAATGTCGTGTTTTGTTAGACATTTTTACACGTTAGAAGCTTGGTTAAGGTTCGGCACCAATATTGCTTGGTAAGAGTTTGAAAATGTCCTGTTTTGGGTTCAAATGCGACTCGAAGTTACAAATGCGGGACTAGTTTTTCAGCGTCACTCTGAGACAAGAAGTTCCCAGTTTTGACCGGTGAGGGACGGTCGTCCTAAAGACTTTGGTTGCGGAAAATATCGTGCTTTGTTCGACATTTTTACACGTTAGAAGTTCAGTTAAGGTTCGGCACCAACATTACTTGGTTGGAGTTTGGAAAAAGGTCACGGTTTGGGTTAAAATACGACTCTTTCGCTACATATTTCAAGCTTTTTCTGGATTACCAAGGTGACAATGCCAACTTATACCTGATTGGTTGGCTAAAAATGTCAAACAAGTGGCAAAATACAAAAATACATGGATTACATTACAGGCAAACATAATCCGTCAAAACATGCAGTTTAGTCGCACAGGAATTTGTGGAGGCGGAGTCGTGGCTGCAATTAATTAGAAGTTTCAGAAGGATCCCACAGAACATAAGTGAGTTACCAACACAGGGTGAGCAATGTTCTACATTTGCCTAATCGTCGCCATAATTGTTGCGTATCGTCTCCAAAGCCTGATATATCTGATTCCTCTGAGCCACGGCGCTCCACTGTTGTCCAAAACCTATTAAAAACACATCAGCGAGCCTCACCGGTGCACCGGGTGACATGTTGCTTCATTACCACCAACACACACGTTTGTCTGGACTCAACAAAAACCGTCTACCGGCTCAAAGGAAACAGTTTGAGAGATATTCGCTAGAAACTCCAGCGTCCGTCTGTTTCAGAAAATTGCCTTTGTTGAAAATGAAACCATTAATTTGTGAGTTATTTATAAGGACTTACATGTTCACCACAGGGAAATCATAAAAGCACTGGTTAACCTACACAATTACTCCATCTTGTATACGTACGTATATTTTAAACACACTCATGGGTATCTGTGGATATTACCATTATCTAATTTCTATCCGTGTGAAAGCTTCTCCACAAAATAATATGAAATCTATTTAAAGCTGATTTTGGTGTTCGAGTACATCAACGTTATCTTTACCGACTGCATCAACAAGGATCAAATATTAACTTTTTCATGTCAGTTCACCCAAATGAAAGAAAAACCCCCATTGACTCGCTGCAAAGAAATTTTTTGGGTTTTTCGGTTTCTGCCTGCACAATGGGATGTACAGTAGTTTGTACTGAAGACAACAGTGAAAAAGTATAGGGAGCATAAACGAGAATGTTCATCTCTGCAGGGCTGTGATGAGCTTGTAGGAGATATAAAACTTTAGCAAACAAAAATACCTGAAAATGGTTTTGGGTGAATGTACCCTTTAAAAATGCCACGTATCTTACCAGAGAGTGCAGCGGGGCCTCGTAGTTCGGCGACGACGCTCCCTGTCCGCCGTTCCTCGACCAGACGGCTGAACTTGCAGCTAGGAGAGAGGACACAAGGAGGCATCGTTAGGAGAGGAGACGTGGAACAACCAAAGGTCAAAGGGAGATTCAACTTTTGTTTCCCTCAAACCGACATCCTTTCATTTGGGATGGCACCAACATGTGCGACTAGTGCGACCTGAAGCGTCCTCCAGCCCCCTGCAGAAAACAACTGGATGTCTGCGTGTAGATTAGAGCCCAAAAAAAACAAATGACAACCTCCTCTTGCTTTTACAAAGAACGAAACCACTCGACGTGAAGCGCCGAACGCCAGACAAAACGTCTTCACACACAAGGAGACTCTCATCGTATCCACTCGTGGTGCTCAGACATAATAGACGCAGAGACGAGGAAAAGGGAAGACAAAAACAAACCGACTCATATCTCGTAGCAAAAAATGCTAATATCGGCCCTTTGTTTTGAGAAGGTACAAGTGGTTGATTAGCATTGGGCCCTCTGCAGAATAAACAAGCTTTGTGTCTGTGTTTGTCTCTGCTTTTGTGCCGGTCGTCACTCTGAAGGGTCGCACCTGAATCGACAGGTTTCATTAGCTGGTAGCGCGACGAGACGGCGACCGGAGTGGATTTACATTAATATAAGGCTCGGTGAGATGCTGCGTGGAGGTCTTTTAGACAGATTTCAGAGGGGACACGGTGACTAATCAAAGGAAAGAGCAGTTGTTGAGCATCTGTAGCTTACAAGCTAACTGCTGACATGCTAGCATGCTGGTCAGCCAGTCAGAACTATGCTGGGGTTTTCTTTTTCTTTTTACAGTCCCTGACAGAGTTTCAAATATGTACTATACAACATTATTCAATAAAGATTCACTGAAGAGAGATAAAAGATCCTCATGCTTGTGAGCTTTCTACCTGCTAGCTACTCCCATTAGCCCTGTTTGCTAATAGGACAGTAAGTTCACCAAGTTGGGTCAAAAGTTGTGTTTGCACCGCAGACTCCTGACTACGTATACCCTTGGTTTCCATTATTATTCCTGAAGAGTAGCGAGGACAGCGGATGGACTTAACACAGGATTTCTGGAGAATTTAGAACTTCCCACTGTGCTCTGGGCGTGTACAAATCGATGTACCTCCAAAGTCCAGAAGCAACGACTGCGATTACGTCTCTTCTCATGATGAATTAGAAATACGAGCAGCTCATGTGCTTGCAGCGCGGACTGTCTGTGCAATCGGAAATTTTAGGCTTTGTGGACTTGGGAGGATGACAAAAACTGTGTTACCCTTGAGGGTGGAGGATGCGGACATGGACTGCAGATGCGGAGCCAATTGGGTAGACGTAGCACAGGACTTCTGGAGAATTTAGAACTTCCAAATAAGTTTGGCCATGTACAAATCAAAAGTGCCTCCGAAGTTCGAAAACAACTACTTCGATTCTGTCTCGTCAAATGATGAATTATAAATATGTGGATGACAGAGAAGCTCCTGGCAGAATGTCTCCTAGAAGCAAATATTTGTTTTCGGCACCATTTGTTTTCCTGGCCTCCTGGTAGGCGCTCTGTCAATGCAAACAGTCTGTTTTTGGGCTCAGACGCTTATGGACTGGGGTGGATGACGAAATTTCCGTTGCGGTCTACGGATTCAGATCTGGACTGCAGGTGCCGGGCCAATGGGGTGGACGCAGCACAGGATTTCTGGAGAAGAATTTAGAACTTCCGAATGAGTTTGGGCAGGTACAAATCGAAGAGCCTCCAAAGGCCAATTACAATTTCATTTAGCAGACACTTTCATCCAAAGTGACATACATTTGATACACCAATGGTGACAGAGCTGCCATGCAAGGTGCTGCCTGCCATTGGGAGCAACTTTTGGGTTCAGGGCCCAAAAGGGTTCTTGCCCAAGGACACTTCGACTGTGGAGCGGCGGGGGATGGAACCACCAACCTTGTAGTTAGTGGACAACCCACTCTACCACCTGAACCACAGCCACCCTAGAAGCAACTACTGCGATTACGTGTCTTCCAATTATGAATTATAAATGTGGGTACTACAGATAATAGCACAGGATTTCTGGAGAACTTCCTACTGTGTTTAGGGCATGGACTGATCAAAGCACTTCAGATTCAGGAGGCGATTACGTCTCTTCTAATGATAAATTAAAACTCTTACAAACATGTGGAAAGCATGAATTAGCCTTGAACGAATGGGAAGTCATAACTGCAGGGACATATAACCTGCATGTATAGAATGATCAGCAAATCCAATAAAAATTTAGTTTTTCAATAAATAAGCACCAGTTTGAAAACCCCAAGCCACATCTAAACCAGCTGATTGGTTATGATCCTGTCTGAACCTGCCCAGACAGGTGAATCTGCCCTCCTCTATTTACCCTCCATCCCCTCCCTCCTCATCTCCGCCCTCGACGCTGATCTCTTCCTTGTAACTCTGATCTCATCTCATTAGCACATGTTTCTCTTTTTCATTGTCTTCCCATTTTGTCTCGCAGTCTTTTCTCTCCCCTCTCCTTTTTATTCATATTACATGCTCATTTCCATATGCTAATTAATGAATAATCACCTGGGTACATTCATGTGCAAATACAAATATATGTATTAAACGGCGGGGTAAATTAATCCGAGTCCGACGCTGTAAAACACCCTCGCAGAATTAGCCTTGGATATCAATTTGCATGTAGTTTGCTCTAATAGGCTTCATTTCTAATTTGTAAAAAGTGGAGTAACTCTGACACAATGATAAACACCAATTATGGTTTCGCAGGCAATATCCCAGGCAGCCATAATGACGAGGAGGAGGGGGCCGGTGTTTGCGGAGCCGCTAGGTTTTGTGAACGATTTGTCGAAGTGGTGCTCGTAATTAAAGCTATCAGTCACGAGGCGCGGCGGAGAAAATATCAAACGGTGTGTGTAGCGGCGACAATTAGAGACAAATTCGACACAACTATTATTAGGAAAAGTCATTTTTCACTTTAAGGGGCGGCCGGAGTTTACAGCATCCGCCGAGAGGAGGAGTAATTGGTGGGAACAAGAGGAGGAGAAGGGGGAGCGGAGGGGAGATGCAGCGGTTATTAATGCGGCTTTATGGTTTTGGTTTTTACACCGAGCGATGGAACGTCTGATAAGAAACCGAATTTAAATAGAAATTAAATAAAATGTTTTAGTTAAAGTCCTTGTTTGTTTTAGTTCGTTTAAGTAAAAAGGTCGAGGTCAAAAGAAATGGTTCAAATAAAGTCAAAAGTCATTTGTAATTAGTCTCATTCAAGTCTCTAGTCTGGACAAGTTCAAGTCGAGTCTTCAAATTTGATAAATTTAAGCTCAGCTCATTTACAACTAGTCCAAGTCAGAAGTCGTTGCAGCGTTTTCATAAAGAATAAATTCAAGTCTAATGTGATTTAAGAAAGATGCAAATAAAGTTAGATTATTTAAAAAAGGGTCAAGTCATGTTTCAAGTCATTTGAAACAACGTCAAGTCGAGTCTTAAGTCATCTCCAAAGTCAAGTCGTTGAAGTTCAAGTCGAAAAAAGTTGAACTCGATGCTCGAAAATGATTTTAAACGGTGTGAAACTTGGTCAAGTCTTTCAAAAGTCATTCTGAAGAAGCTCAAGTAAAGTTTCAGGTAATTTTACACAAGTTCAAGTCAAGTCTAAGATCATTTTAGACAAATCAAGTCTCAAATCACTTCAGGCAAGTTAATGTCAAGTCTCAGGTCATTTGAAACAAGTTTTAGTCAAGTAAGCTCATTTTAGATGAGTTCAAGTCGACTCTAAGGTCAGTTGGGTCAAGTCAAGTCTCAAGTCATTCAAAACAACGTCATGTAGAGTCACAGGTCATTTCAAACAAGTTCAAGTTGAGTCTCAAATTTGAAAAAAAAAATCGTAAAATTTAAGCTCAGCTCATTTAAAACGAGTCCAAGTCAGAAGTCGTTGTAGCGTTTTCATAAAGAACAAGTCAAATCCTGTGAAAAATGATCAAATTCAAGTATAATGTGATTTTAAAAAGATCCAAATAAAGTTACAACTCATTTAAAAAAATGGTCTCAAGTCATCTCCAAAGTCAAGTCGTTGAAGTTCAAGTCGAAAAAAGTTGAACTCGAATCATCAAGTCGAAAGTCATTTTAAACCGTCTGAGTCGTGGAAAGAAGTTTAAAACTTCACGACAATTAGAAAATCGTTTGATTACGGTAGAGCTCCAAAGATCAAGTCACGAGTCATTTGAAACTGGGTCTGTCCAAAGTCTGGGCTGAGTCACGAGTCATTCTAGTTCAAGTTAGGACTCAACTGATTTGAAGAAAGTTCAACTTAATTCTCGAGTCAACGAGTTAAAAGTTGTTGTAGATTAAATGAGCTCAAGGTAAGCTGCGAGTCATTAGAAACAAGTTCGAGTCAAATCTCAAGTGAGTTAGAAGAAGTTAGTTCTTAGGTCATCTGAACTAATCCAAGTCCAGTCAAGAGTAATTTTGGATTATGACTTGTTAAGCCACGTAACAGAAGTTCAAATCAGAAGTTCTGTCTTTTTAGAAGAGGGTCAAGTCAGTTTGCAAGTTATTTGTAAAGGGTTCCAGTCGAGGTATTTCTGATCACTTCGAGGCTCAAGTCATCGAAGAAAAGGATTAAGTTCTTCTTATTAAGCACTTCTGTCTCCAATCCAAGTCTCAAGTCATTCAACCCAAGGTCATGTAGAGTGTCATTTCATTTAAAACAAGTTCAAGTCAAGTCTTATTTCATTTCAGATGAATTCAAGTCAATTCTAAGGTCAGTTAGGTCAAGTCTAGTCTCAAGTCATTCAAAATAAGTTGATGCGACGTCTCAAGTCATTCAAACCAACGTCATGTAGTCACAGGTCATTTAAAGCACGTTCAAGTCAAGTCTCAAGTGCTTTAAAACAAGCCCACATCAAGTCTTAAGCCCTTTCAGTCAAGTTCAAGTCTTAAGTCATTTGAAACAAGACCATGTCAGATCTCGAGTCCTCATTTCTGCGATTTACGCACCTCTGTCTCCAGTCCAAGTCTCAAGTCGTTCAAACCAATGTCATGTAGAGTCTTGTGTCAGTTAACACAAGTTCTAGTCGAGTCTTAAGCCCTTTAAGTCAAGTTCAAGTCTCAAGTAATGTGAAACAAGACCAAGTCAAATCTCAAGTCGTCATTTCTGTCACTCAAGTCCAAGTCATAGGTCATTCAAACCAATGTCATGTAGAGTCACGGGTCTGGGTCACAGGTCCAAGTTCAAGTCAGGTCTCAGATCGTTCAAGTCATGATCAGTTTCTGTAGTCCCGAGTCAGCTCTGCTCCTTCTGTCCAACACCGTTGTCCGGCGTGTTCTGGCCGGACGCCGTCGTTACCTGTGAGGGAAGGCGGCGAGCCGACTGGGGTGGACGGATTGGACGAGAAGCTGTTGTTCGTGTGGTCCGGAGAGTAGATCTGCAAACGAAAGAGACGCAGAGTCAGAACGGCGAAGGCAAAGCTGCAGAAACATACATTCCAACAGCCTCAGAAAGCCTTGAACAGAGCGTGGGGAAGATAAGAAAGGAGCGCTGTAGTTACCGATGCGAGTGCTTTCCCTAAGGCGTCTCCTGTCTGGGAGCTGCTGGCTGCTCCGCTCTGCGCTCGGTTAGCTGTAGCACACACACAAACACACAGGAAAAGGACGGATTCTGGTAAATAAGGATGTTGTTAACTACATATTTAATTATTCAGCGCATCCGTTCCACACTTAAACCGGCAAAACATGTTCATTAGAAGTGGAAATTACACCTCCGGTATGGAGAGCGAGAGAAATGAGACTCTCCCGCTTTCGTGGATTAATTTGTCTCCGTCGTCGTTTGGTTTTTAGTCTTTTATTTGTTCTCTCTTGGGTAATTCTGATACCGTTAATACATGTCATGAAGCAATGCAAAGTTTTACCTTTATGCTACGAATACTTTCCAAGTTACAGGTACAGAAAATGGACACATGAAATTTTCAAGGTTGAAGAACACATTTGAGTTTTGTTTAAAAACTGCAACCACATCAGTTTTCAATCGGCTCCAGGTGTTGAAATCTGAAGACCAAATCCTGTTTTCGTTCAGCTTGTGACCACCGTTGAGGTTGAGCACCAATATTATGGGATATGTCAAAGTCTTAATAGTTAAACAGTAGGACAATGGATGTGTGATCACGGTTTAATTGTTTTAAAGAGAAAACTTTATAAGGTGGATTGTGGGTCAACTTCGAGCACATGAAAGACCTCATTTTTACCTTCATCTCCATACCAGCACCAATGTTGAGGATCCCAAAAGGTTCCCTTAAAGTTCTTGTTTAGGGTTTTTTTTCTTCTTATGTTTGGGAAGAACAATGAGTTCAATGGAACCTTAAACCCACGAAACACTTCTTTATAAACCTTGTATGGGGGTTCCTCTGCTGTATTGGTTCTTCAAGGAGCTCCAAAAGGTTGCTCCTCATTGGGAAAAAAAAAAAAAAACCCTAATATTGAGTTCAAGGGAACCCCAAACCACCCAATCTGGTTCTTCAATGACATTTTTAAGAAGTTACTTGAACAATCTCTGCTGCATTGGTTCCTCAAGAAACCATTATGAACTCAAAAGGTTCCTCCACAGCCGCAATGGTGAGGATCCCAAAAGGTTCCTCGAAGTTCTTGTTTAAGGTTTGGGAGGAATTATGAGTTCACTGGAACCTTAAACCAACGAAACACTTCTTTAAAGACCTTCTATGTGGTTCTTCTTGGTGTAATAATGAGTTCAATGGAACCCTAAACCAAAAACCCAAAAATGGTTCTCTGAAGAGGTTCCTCCACCGTGACAAAGGTGAAGAAGCCTACAAAGTAATCCAAAGGTCTATAATGAGCTAAATTCCCAAAAAGGACCATGTACACTATTGTTTGAGGGCAGTTCAATGGAACCCTAAACCCCCCAAAAATGGTTCTTTGAAGACCTTTCTGAGGAGTTCCTTGATCAATCTCTGCTGCGTTGGTTCCTCAAAAGTTTCTTTGAAGCTCTTCTTTGACTCTTAAGGAGTGTGAATACTTACTTGTCCACAACAATTGGAGGAACAGTTTCTCCTAAATGGCAAGAAAAAGCTCATATAGCTGCTTCCTGCTCGGCTCTGCTACCTCAAAGGTCAACACTGTCGAGGCGGTTTCCGTCTAAAGCGAATCCTATCGAAGTTTTACCGCAGTTGAATTCTTTGTTAAAGCTCTTTGGGGGGGATTTTCTTTGGTCTTTGTGTTTCGAAATGGTGGCACGACCGGACGTTTCCCCCGTCAACGCCAAATAATGTGACAAGAACCAGAAACAGGCTTTTTTTTTTTAACGAGAGCCGACGTCAACATCTCGTCGCATTTTAAGGCTCTGACAGCATGTGTTTGTGCGGACTTTAAATACAACCCAAAATCTGTTTCACACACTTCAGAGGGCCGCCGAGGCCAGGAGAGGAAGGAAGTGACCTCACAGGACCAGATGAGCGCCCACACACACACACACACACACACACACACACACACACACACACACACACACACACACNCTCTGACATGCTCGCAGCTCATCTCTCCTGATAGCAGATCCCAGATGGAAAGTTTACGCTCGCACAGACACATGAAAAATTTTTTTAAAAAACACACACAGCACACATCCTTTCACGGCAAATGAATCCATTACAGAGATTGGCAGGACTCGACTTCTTTAAGCTGCTAGAAAGAAGGCAGACAGACAGACAGACAGACAGGTAGACAGACAGACGGCAGGCAGGCAGGCAGGCGGCATATGTTTTGGGGTTAAAGCCTCATGTCTCACTCATGCCACACCACTGGCCTAGTAAACCATCCAGGGGATTACTGCTGCATGCACGGATCCTTCGCTCGATGCATAATTTAGAACATATGCAGGAGAAAATCTTCTTTTTTTTTTTTTTCATAAACGAGAGCTTATAGCCGCAAAGGAGGAGCTCATTCGGGAACCGACTTCGTTTTCGGTCGATCGCCTCTTCAAAGGAGAGAAAAAAATCTAATTTCTAAATCAAATTATTGTGAAACCGGTTTTTAGTTTTGAGCATTTGATGTCCAGTTGTTGTGTCCTGCTCATTGTTTACAGTGTGTTCTGGTTGTTGAAGCCGCTTTAATGAGTAAAGAACACGTAACAGAAGATCTTTATCGAGCTGTAAGAGCACAATAAGTCGCTTGTTTTAGTTTAAACACACTTTGTACCCCAGAAGAAAAAGAAGAGACACCGGGGCAGCAACAAGGAAATGATCCCTCACCGGCTTCCCACCAATTGTGTTCAATGGAATGTATGACCAAGATGGAGGTCGGTTTTGAGCATTTTGTTGCTAAAAATCGATCGTCGTCCCTTTAAACGGGCAACTTTAAGGAGTGTTGCACCAACTTCTGACAAAGAAACACCTCAGAGATGCCAACATGCAGGTTTCTTTCTCTTTCAGCATATAAATCTTCCGTCTTAATGCTAAAGACTCGCCATGTTTCCTCATAATTGTAAAGCCAATTTGAAGCAAACTTGCGAAAAAGAAAATGCGAATCACGCTTGTTCTCCATCGACTGCTTCGGAGCAAACAAACGAGGCTTGTTGGTGTGTTTGGAAGATGAAAAACAGAGCAGAAGAAGCCAAAAAAGTCCCGGATGTCCGACTACATCTGGTCAGATTTTACAGTTTGCAGCCTCTTCGTCGGACACTTTGACCCACAATCCTCTGCAGGAGTTTAATCGAGGTGGAGCTGCTGCAAGTGCACCAAAGATGGAGTTGGAGCAAGTTGTTGCACGAAACTCAACTTTTATCAACAGCAAGAGAAAACTGGTTGGAAGTCTCTAGGAGTTGTTTGAAGGTATACTTTGGTGCCATCTGGAATCGATGGTGCTGAAGACGAACAAAAGGAGCGGAAACAGCAGATCAGTCGTGTTTTTAAGCGTTAAAAGTTGTTCGAGACTCTTTTGCAAGTTTCTAAAACCTGTTTCTGTTTAACGCGACGCTTCAAAATGTGCTTAAAACTGCATCGTGGCAACACGACTGAATGCAAACACGATGACGGTAGAACCTGCAGGAGAAGGTTCTGGTCTGTTGTTGGTGTTGAACGCGACTCCGGTGACCACAGCTCCCGTTCCCTTTAAGGAGAAGTCGCTTGTTTGCCGGTGCGAGATCAGACCGATGCCGAGGAGCGTCTGCAAACACTCGGCGTTCATTGAGCGCGCACATGTGTGTCATATGCTTACGTTTAAACAACAGCGTCATGTTTTTTATTAGCTTCATCTTGTGTTTACACTCGTGTGTGTGTGTGTGTGTGTGTGTGTGTGTTGTGTGTGATATCTCCGAGGAATGTTGGAGATGTCTTCCCATGAAAACAAACTTCAAATCTGGTTCTTATTGCCGTCGTATTTGTTCTACGGGACTCAAAGCGAGGGGTCCATATGGCATGCTGTGTGTGTGTGTGTGTTTGTGTGTGTGCTTTTGAGTGTGTGTGTGTGTGTGTGTGTGTGTTTGTGTGTGTGTTTGTGTGTGTTTGTGTGTGTCGCTGATGTCAAGGTCGAGCCAAAATGGAGGACAAGTGTTTTCTCAGTTCGGTTATCTTCTGTTTTCGACTGCCTGTCTTCGAAAACAAAGAGCTTCAGTGTTTAAGTGGTTTAAATCATCCCAGTCTGATTCCAGCTGTGGGGGGAGCAACTGATTGTGTGGCCGTAAATAAAAATGTGGTCGAGGGAATAAGGAATACCTGTTAATCACATGTTTGGTTTTCCATCTACCGCTTGGAACGTGTAAAAGAAATGCAGATAAAATGGTAAAAATTTAGAAATAACACAAGTTTTGAGGCTTGGCTGAGATGGAAAAGTTGGCGTACGTTGAAAAGCTAAAGCAAAAACACACGTACCCATATGGGAATTCATCATTTCTTGTACATTGTCTTTGTTATGTCTTGTATTTTTAGCCTTGCTGCCCTTTTGTATTTCTTGTCCTGCTCAAGGCCTCGTCTGTAAGCAGCTGCTGTAACCCAACCAGGGATCAATAAAGTTTTTTTTTTTATCTTATCGAACTAAACGATGGATCGAGTCACCCGTTGGTTTGTTGATACCATTTAAAAGCCTTGAGTTTGGAATTTGGCTGCTTCAAAAAGGGTCAAATTTGACTTAAAACTTGAAAACAAACCCACTAAAACACATCCTGCTTTGTCGTCTAGTTTTCTCTAAATTCGATCATAATTTACTAAATGAACATCGTGCTGTGCTCAAAAAGTCTTGAAACCAGCAACTGAGACCATAAGTTTATTTAAGAAATGCTTTCTGAAGCAATAGACCAACTTAAAAGTCGGGTCATCTTCTCATAGACTTCTATACAATCAGTAGTCGCCCCCTGCTGGCCGCTAGAAGGAATGCAGGTTTAAATCACTTTAGATCAGGAGGCTGCATCCGTCTTTTATGTACAGTCTATGGAAGAAATCTTGTGAGTCCCTACTGACTCCAACTGTAGTTTTATTATTTCTCCAGATATCCAGAAACCAACCAGCCAACATATTAGTTTATTTAATTGACTATGTAATTGATAAAATGTCCTTTTATGAGCAACAATGCCTCAAATTTCTAGTTTTAAATGGCAGTAAACTCAACATCCTTTTGTTGTTGACTGTTGGCCAGATGATCTAACTTTATCTGGCGTAAAATAAACAATCAATCAATGATAAAGATGATTGTTGTTTGCACTTTTACACTTCAATAATGGAATATTAGTGCTTTGTCTGAAGTTTTCTGTGAGTTAATTACTTGATGCAGAAATAAAATGGAAGCAATTCATGAGAACAGTCCTCTGTGAGACTGGATAGAGTCGATATTGTGCTTTAGTTTTGCACATTTCAGACAAATTTATGATTATTCGAATTACGAAATTTGAGTGGAACATCTGAAGATTCCTCCACAGTCACAACACAGACGACAACAAATGTGTCTAAAACCACCACTTCAAGATAAATAAAAAAATAACCAGAAGAACCACAACTAGAACAGTTCAAGTTGACCCACAGCAGAGCGTTTGAAGTTTTTGTTTTTGTTTTTTTTTAAGTATAAAGTCAAGTTAAAGTCAAGTTTAGGTCAGTCTCGGTTCTAAAGTCAAGCTGCAAGTCTCTCAGGTTGGTGAGTTTATCAGGTCAGGAAGTGGTTTTACTTTTAAGGTCAAGTCGGTAAGTCCGGTCTCACGGTCCGGGTCCAAGTCAGGAGTCGAGTCCGAGTCAAGTCTGGAGTGTGAAGTCTACAGCTCTGAAAGTACACCGGTTCACGGACATCAAAGTAAAATCAATACTTTGTGTTAGCATGTATGCTACAATGCTAACATTAGCATTGAACCCAAAGTGCTGGCGTCAGTTTGACCACAAACCAAACAAAAAAAAAGGATATTTTATAAAACCCAAAAACAAACCAAATTCCACGACAATCCATCCAACAGGTGGTAAAACATTCAACTTCATGGTGTCACTACAGAAACACATCCTCTGGAGAGCATGAACGTCCATTTAAAATCGGATCATAATGCATTTTATTCCCACGATGGAGACAAACGACCCGTTCTACAAATTTGGAGCGTCACAACCAAAGTGGATGCTCTTTTATTTTCAATTAATCCTTTTTTAATGCAAACATAGACCAATAGATCGTTCATTGGTCCCCAGAGGAAATTCAAAGTCCAGTAGCTCACACGTGTTGCATAAAAACAACCAAACCAACATGCAAAATGACCAGCAGCGGCTAACTGCGGACGCCGTTAGCTTCTTACCCATGATGCTGTCTGTGCCGTTGGTGGGGGCGGTGCAGGAGGCGGTGCTGTAGTGATTGGCCCCGCCCCCTCCGCCGCTGCCGCTCGCCCCTCTGTGGAAGCTGGACATGGGAGGAAGGCTGGAGCTGATGTCCGCAGACGAGTGCGACGGGTAACTCTGCGGAGACACGGACATTCAAAACGTGTTGGAGCTGCTTTTATTTTGAAGGATTCCTCATCTGACGTCTGACAGATTTACGGTTTCACATATGAGTATTAAAGTATATCATGTGTCCAGATGTGAGAACGGGAACTTCCAGTAAGGACACACACAGCAAAACACAATCGAGCCAATTGGAGATAATTAAAACAACTCGGCATGTTGAGTTGATCCGGCGCCGAGCCAGCGACTCTTTAATATGTTCGTCACTTGTGATAGATTCAGCTGGTGTTTGTTGCTTCTAGAGCCGCGACCGAAGCCGTCGTTTTAATGTTAATTAGCACAGCTTCAGTTACTTGTGGCTTTGCTGTTGTTTCCATGTGGTTTTTGGTGTCCAAGAAATCCTGACGTCGACTGGCCAGGAATGACTCAGCGTTTCCTGGTTGTTGTCACTTTATTTAACAAGGACACGGTTTAAGGTTTTGACTCTGATTGAGGATTTTAGGGCTGTTTCAGACCAACAGTGACGTCAGAGACACCTGAACAAGGTACCGTGATGCTTTTAAATATATAAATGGAGTTAAAGTCTAATCCAAAGGTCGACTCAGTAGTTTTATCTGTTATCTCGTAGGAACGCAGTTAAAAGCTTAAGAATGGACAAAAAAAAAGGACTTTGAGTTCCTATTTTGAACGTCCAGAGTAGAAAATATCATTAAAATAGAAAAAAGTAGTGAAGGTCGAAACATGCGAGTACCCTTCATGTATTCATGTAAACATTTACACTATACGATACAAGAAAGAGTCCAAGCTTTAGGTTTTATGAGATATCAGTAAATCTACAAAAACAGGAAATAAAAATGTGTCATATCTCACTATAACTAATAGAATAAATATACAGATAAATATACACCATGTACCTATTATCTGTAAATTAATGAGAGTTGCTGATTTAAACAGTGTAAAAAATAAAATAAATATATTGTTGCTGTTTTTTTAACGCCAACATAAAAGAACATTTTACCAACATCGTAAACATACTTTCTTTTTTTCTCCCTATGTAGACATTTTTTTGGTACAGTTTGGGCTTAAAAAAAAAAAAGCATATAAAAAATATACACATTTTTTCCTTAAAATAACGACAAATATGTATAAAACAATGAGAGTTGCTGATTTGCATAATGTAGTTTTTTTTTTAAATTAGCATTTCTAAAATGTTATTTTTTTTATATTGACATTTTGTTTCAGTTTAGGCCTATTTCTTTTTTTTTTTTTTAAATTATATTTTGTTCTTATTACTTTTTTAACTTTGGTTCTGTGATTCAACTAAATACTATAAGTAATTTAACAAAACAGAAAAAAAAAAAAAATATATATATATATATAGAAACAACCTATGCATAGTTTTTCAATTCCAAATATTCACAATTTGTCTTTAAAATGATGCCAAATATCAGTAAAACAATAACAGTTTTTTCCTGATTTAAATACTGTAAAAAATAAAATGTCATTTTAAGATTAAACGTAAAGCAAAATATTCTCCTTCTCTGGGCTTCTTTTTGTGATTTAACTGGATATTTTCTGGTTAATCAATCAAGGAAAATGTTTAAAATAACATACATAAAAAAATGTTAAAAATACTGAAATTTTCTGGTAAAACAAAACAGCCTAAATTACCATCTGTTAAATAAAAAAAATTAAATGTTTATGTTTTTAACGTTGCAGAATAAACGTGATCTCTGGACGGACTTCCTGGAAGCGCTGACTGACGGCCGAGCTCACCAGTCTGTCGTGGGGGTGGATCCCGCAGTAGGAGGAGCTCTGGGCGGAGCTGTGGGCCGAGTTCCCGCCCGCCAGCATGCTGCCGTGGTAACCCTGCTGGCTCATACTGCTACTGCTGCTGCTCCAGGGATCGCCGCTGTGGTGACCATCTGACCGACAGGACAGGAGGAGACACGTTAGAACCATCAGAACCAGGACCAGTTAGGCATTATGGACCCAGACAGTCCAGAAACAGGCAAAAAGAGCTTTTTTAATATTGAAATGACACGTTTTTATACGTCTGTTGTCCTGTTGGATGTTGTTGATGCTGTTGGGGGACGGAGGAGCTGAACTGTGCATTTATAAATGAAATAAAACGCAGAAACAATAGAAAAAGTTCCTCCTGACAGCACGACAACAACAAACTGGCTGAACTTTGCATTTTGTTGGGTCAGAAAGGTACCGAACACACAGATTTAACCAAACTCTTCTGCACCAAAGAGGATTTTTTCTGCTGGTAATTCAGTAAAAACCGGTTTGACTAGATAACTACATGTTGTACAGGAGAGTGATGCATTGTGGGTTCATTGAAGGAGGATTTTATCGCAAATTTTCAGATCTTTTTCTGCTCGACCAGCTCGGATTAGCCTGAAACTTTTATAGCGTAAAATCTATTTGTTTACAAAGACAGATGTGAAGTTTTAGCTTCATGTATCAAAAACTTTTTGAGATAAATTATTTTTAAAAATTCAAGGCTGTTTGAATGACGACGTCTGAGGAACGATTAAAGATAAAAACCTGAACTTTTCTTGTTATTTCTCATCATGTTGTTGAGTCAGAATCTGTTAAACTGGACAAACAGATTAAATATTATTTGCTGATTTCAACCAGCCGTCATGTTTATTGTTGCCTTTATGTCATAAAGCTGTTAGCTAAAGCCGCTCAACATCTGGTTAAACTTAAACCGTTTGGCTCGCTGATACAGTTTTTCTCATTTATCATCGTGTTTGTCGTCACCTGCTGCTGCCGCCATCATGTGGAAAAGCTCCCAGTCAGCAGTGAGTTCACGATGGAGGCGTTTTTCCATCATATGGTATAAATAAATATAAATATATTAATGTATATGTGGATGTGAAGATGTGTCTCCTGGTTTCACATCAGCGTCGTCGTAATCGAGCCTCATTCAGGAGACGTCCGACCTGCTGCTGCTGCTTCAGGTCAACTGGAGATGTTTGTATTTTGGACTCTATGATGAAAAAAGAATCTGGAGGAAGATGTTTAAACTGTACTGGAAATATTTCTAGTATTTCTATTTTAAACTGGTCTACAGGATCCAAAAACTCTGATTTTTGTCCTAAAAACAAGGCGTGAGTTCACGTTTCATTCAGTCTGGAGGCACGTTAAACTCTCCTGCTGCTCAAAGTCACGTTTTCACTTCGTTAACTCGCTGCTGGACGATAAATGACGTCTAAAATAAACTCTCAACAGCCTGGATCAATGTTTAGACCTGCAACCTGCAGCGACCCTGAGGAACTGATCCTGTGTTAGTTTGAGGAAGTTTTCAGTCATTATGCAACGTGTTGTTCTTTCATTATGGAAAATGTATGTTAAGTACTGCTATTGTTTTAAATACAGAACTAAACTTTGTAATTTTAATGTAAAACAATCTATTACTATTCATAAATCTACAAACTTTGGTGGACATTATTTATTTTAATAATTAACATGTCAATTATTACTTCTTTTCCTGTGATTTTATTAGATATTATCAGCAATTTAATTTTTAAAAAAATCTTTAAAATGACGTAAAAGTTTTAAAATATTTTCTTTCACATTTTGTGCCTTTTTTTTTTTAAAACAATTAACATTTTTCCTGTAATTTAATGATAAATTATGTGTAATTTACTCCAAAAAAGGTCTTTAAAAAAACATTAAACTTTTAAATAATATTTTTCTTTCACATCATGGCAAATATTTGTAAACTATTGATAAAATTTTTTATTTTAAATACAGTAAAAAAAATTATTTAATTTTGACATGAAAGAATCTTTTACCATTTGTAAAACTACACATTGTGGTGGACGTTATTTACAGTTCTGTGCCTGTTTTTTGTGTTATTTTAACAATTAATATGTCAATTAATACTTTTTTTCAGACATTATCTATAATTAACCCCAAAAATTATTTTAAACAACTTTCTTACAAAATAAGAGCAGACATATTGACATAACGTTTGATCACTTTGTCGATTTAAATGCTGTAAAAATATTGTAGTTTTATGCTCAAATAAAAAAGAACAAACCACTTAAAAATTACAGTTCAAAAAAACCCTAGTTAATTCCAATTTAAACCATCATGGCTGAATTATTCCAACAACACCAGGTGGAGGCGAGCTGGTGTGCTCGAGCTGCAGCAAGAAAACAGAAGGAGACATTTAAAGGTAGGAACTGATTATTTTAGTGGGAAAGACGTTTAAATTTGCGCCTTTGATGCCACAAAATGACATTTTAGGGGTTAAACTAACGACCGGAGAGGAACTCTGAGGACAGAATTAAACTAAAATAGAGAAAAAAGCCGTTGAGCCACTTTGGAAATCAACGTTTATACAGTCAAAGCTCAGAGGAGACGGGTTTGGTTGTTGTTTGTTGTTTTTCTAATGGAGATAAAGTCCCATATGTGGACGATATCGGCCTCTTAATGCTCAAACCAATCCGACATGATCACAAACTGACTCCACCTGCAGCTGATCTCAGTCTGGACTCGTCTGGACGCTTTGACTCCGACCACCAGAAGCTCGTTAAATCCAACCAGTGATGAACCGTTTCCACCAGATTTCCACCAATCAGACGCGTCTAAACGCACGTCCCTCATATTTTCTGCTTGAGACCAAACAAACAGCCGTCCTGGTCCAGCTGAAGCCTCGACTGAGATGTTCATCGTTACAGCCGCAGACATTAAAAAATACACGAGCTCTGGTTCTTGTCGTCCACATCCATCAGGACGATTCCTTCATGAGCAGAAACTCTGATTTGTTCTGTACGTACTGTGGTCTAGTGGTTGGTTCTGTCCAGGTCGTATCGATTATGGATCGATCAGTTATCAGCTACTTTAATGATCAGTATTAGTTTTATTTATAAACTATTATTATTAAACTTCTGAATCTATTTGTCTGAGTTCTTCAAGAGAGGAACTGATCGATTTAATTGACTTTATTTATCTATGGCTCTTCTTGGAACTCATTTAATTCACTGATTTCTGTGTTTATTCACTTATTTGCACATTTTTGTCCATTTAACGCCTCGTTTATGACTTCTTCTTTTTTATTTAATTATTCTCTTATAAATATTCTCTTGTTCTATTTCTGCCCGTCAACTTTCCATGAAAACGTTAATAACACACATTTAATTGAATTTAATTTAATTCCGTTATTTAATGTTATTTTATCTGGTGTTTCCTTTGTGCATGTCTCTTTAAATCTTTATTTTTAACACAATGTTGGTTTGTTTGCATCATTCATGTCATTTGTGTGAAAGTTTAATTGATGAATGTTTGATTTTGGGTTTTAAAAGATGATTTTTGGGGCATTTTGATCCTTTTTATTGAGCTGAACAGAGACGGGAAAGTGACTCATGCTGCGGGTTATTAATTAATAAACGAGCCGGCAGTCGGGGGTCACCTGCTGCACCAGGTGAGCCGTCCAGACGCCACCGTCCTCTGTTTTCTGAGGTCTTATCGACCGACTGATGAATGGAGGACAAAGAACAAAGTGTGACGCTGAACTGCTGCTGGTGCAACAACTAACAAAACTCATGAGTCCAGTGTGTGCTGGTTCTGGTTTCAGAGCCTCCATCGTGGGAGTCTGGATCAGGACCGACCCGGCGTGCCGCTGTGGGCTCGTACCTGGCATGAAGAAGGAGCTGGGGAATCCAGCGCTGGGAGGTTTGGAGGAGGGGTATCCCGGTGAGTCCCTGTTGTAGTCGGCTGTACTGGCAGACGGAGCGTAAACCTGCAGAACAAACAAACAGAGTCACGGATCAGAACCAAGAAAAAACATCTTCACACAGCTTCACAACAGGAAACGGACTTCTCATCTGTGATTGGTCGACGTCTTCCTGAGCCGTCACTGGTCAGAAACAAGGAAGCTGCTAATAAAGTTTGATTTGAATTTAAAATCTGTTCTGCTCATTGTTGTAAAAAATAATCAGACTTTCTCCTGTTTTATTTGTAAAAGATTTCAAATGTTCTCTTTTGCAATATGATTCTCATTAATAATCCCCAATTAGCTTCATTAACATAGTTTTTAATCATGTAAAAATAAGTTTATACAATATGGATTATATAAATTGATCATTTGCACACTGTGCTCATCTGAAACTTCTAATAAATTAAATAAACCTAAAATATCTTGTTGTTTCAAATTAAATAAACTGATTTAAATACAAAATTAAATAATTTTAAAGCAATCTGTACAAACGTGTGTTCATTTTTTAGCTTTAATTTACAATTAAGTTTAAAAGAGTTTTGTCATATTTATGCTACTTTTTTTTAAAGATGATGCTTGCTAAAGTTACCCTGTTTAGTGTAATAAAAACCATTTAAGAAATAATTTCAGTTTATACCTTTTATCTACATAAACTGATAAATTAAAAAACATTTTCTGAAAAAAATCAGATTTATTTTATAATTCAGTTTATCATTTTTGTCATTTGGACGAGTTTGTATGAATATTTTTTAAAAATTAAATACCACATAAAGTTTGATGAACTTTGATCTAATAAACCTGATTTAATGTTTAAAAAGCAGGTTTCTGAACTAGTTTAGAATTTCTTACAATTTTTTGTAAAAAACAAAAACAAAAAAACAAACAAAAACAAAACAAAACAAAAAAAAATATTAATTTTAAAAACAGCCACAAAAGTTTTTTAAAACCACGACGACCTTTAAACCCCAAAATGTTTTCTGTCTATATTACGTGTACAGAATCAAACTTTCACAGACAACCAACACGAGATTCAAAAACTTTTTATTTAAACTCATTCACTGCCTGAAGCCACAGCGGTAACCACGGTAACCGTCACATGTACAGCGTCTTAAACGACCACAACAGCCAGCAGATGCTCGTCTACACACAACTCTGTCCTCATCTCACTGAAACAACCCAAACAGCAGCAGAGCTCTGCTGTCTGTCCGTCTGCCCTCAGAGCAGCAAACATGCAGCCGGCCGCCGCTCAGAACAGGTGACGCTGTTCCTCCGGCAGCACTCGGCCTGTGTTTGGTCACGCCTCCGACCGGGGCTCCCCACGGCAGGCCTCGCCGTGCACGTGTGTGTGTGCATGTTCACGTGCGTGTGCATGTTCACGTGCGTGTGCATAGCGTGCGAACACTCAGCCGTGACGCTAGCTCGCGCCGCATGACGCAAACCCTGGAACAGCTGTTGAAAATGCTCTTCCTTCTCTCTCCCTGATTCACATTAAAAGCTAAAAAAAAGGAAAAGAAAGCCTCCACATCTACACCTAGTGTGACCTGAAAGACTCGCCGCTTTGTTAACTCGGCAGCATTTGCATACGGATGGGACGCAGATGTGGCGAAGGAGAAAAAAAACAACTAATCTTACGACGATAAAACACAGAAGGAACAAAAGAAGAAGAAAAAAAAAAAAGCACTCGAGGCGTTTTAAGAAACATCATGTCACTTCCCAAACTCCCCGAGAGAAATTATTAAAAACAGAAAACAGCTTAAAAGCGTTTGTGTCAAACAAAAACCTAATTGTTCTTTTTCCTCCTTCAGATCGTCGAAGAGTCGTTTCTGCTCTTCGTCTGATCTCTGGAGGCAAGTAGCCGCGAAAACAAACGAAGAATAACGACGCTGCTGAAGGAACGGTTGTTTGGACGACGTACACGAAGTTAATAAAGGAACAAGGACAGAATAATCAGAAGCACAAACTGGTGTGATTCCATGCGTGTCCTTTGTTTTTCAAACATCAACTCGACGCTTCTTCTTCTTTCGCTTCCAATTACGTCCAACATCCCAACAAACGCTGCGATCAAACTACGGGTTCTGGTTCGATGTGACCCGTTAACACCTTCAGCTGCAGTTCATCAGGTGGAGCTTCAGTCAAACCACTTCCACATGATGATCAATGATGCTTTTCAGGTGCACAAGTTGCATCCAACACCTGCCGAGGTGGAGCTACTCTTTACATTCAAACCTTTCCTGTTTAAAAATACTTGAGCTGTTCTAGGTTCTGTTTTGCGACTCCTACAACAACCCCACATCTTCAAAAGTTCTGTTTTAACGTGCTTTTCTTCCCCTACTCATATTTCGCACATTTCTTATCGTACTTTTGCAAACGTCGGATTGCGTGAACGCATCCAAAGATTCGCTGCCTACTGTCGTTGAACACTCGGCAATGACAATAAAAGGAATTCTGTTTTATTCATTATGCAAGTTCGCAACATCACGTTAACTAAAAAGCGCTACTTCCTGTTTCGGTTTCTGGATGAGCAGAAATGGAGGTTTTTGGAGACGATGGTGCAGCTGGTTCACGTTCTGGTTGGTGCTTACTTCCTACATTCGTTCCCTGATTTGATACGCTTCTTTTTTGTTTATTTAAAGATTATTTTCTTCCCGGTGTTAGTTGAGGACAGACAGGACAGGTTGGGAGATAAATGGGGGAATGACTCGCAGCATTCTGGGCGAACCTCAAACTGCTGCTTTTACGTGACCGAAATCTGAGAAAAACTAAGAAATCAGCCTCGATGGTGGTTTATTAAATATAGAAAACTAAGATGCTTCAGTTCAGGAAGTCTCTGTTCTTACTTCCTGTCACTGCTGCAGCATTTTGCACAACTTCAGCAACCAAACCCTGCTTCGTGTTCTTTCTTTTGATTTAGTTATCGATCCCACAGAGAAACGAGGCTGATCATAGCTGATTTATTTCCTCGACAACTTTCACAAGCTCTTTGCAAACTTACACAACGTGCCTTTGAGAACGTAATAAAAGCTCAAACTTGCTAACGTAGCGCTTCGCTCTGGTGTGAAAGTAAATGCAACTAAATCCTGCAAAAAAAAAAAAAAACAGGCAGTCACGGAGCACCGCCGACACACATCTGAGGAGCGGGGAACACTGGGAACTGTGGGAATCAAACGGCGAGGTCAGGAAACACCCGCCCACTCGAGGAAAAAAAAAAAAAAAACAACCCGCGAACGCACAGATGCCGAGTCGGAGCCGATCAGCTGGGAGAGGTCGAGTACCTTCCCACAATGCACCTTGCGCGAGTCTGAGGCGTCCAAAAAAAAAAAACAAAAATCCTCCTGGGCGGCGTGGCTCACCCCCTCAGTGTCTGTGGATGTCATTAGAGCCAAATCCCCTCAAACTTCCTCCTCCTCCCCTCTGAGAACCGGCTCTGATCATAAAACCACATTTATTGACCCGGAGCAGAAACACGCACTGAAAAACGCGCACGCTTAAAAAAAAGCTCGCGCACGGCGTTCCTGCCGAGGATATTTAGATTTACGTCTCACGCGGCATATTTTCCCAGTGAGTGTGTTTGTCAGCGCGGTGACGAAAGGCTGTGATTTGTGCGAGCGCCGCCGCCGCCGACGGACGGGAACAGGTGCAGAGCGCGTTCGGCTCTGAAGAATGTGGCGAGGCGCAATAACAAGCTCGCTTCCTGCACAATTATCAGCGTTCCCACAGTCGGCCTGCACGCCCACGGCCGGCGGGGGACCAGAACCGCGGCAGGATCCGATCGATACGAGCGGGCCGACGGTTCCCACAAGATGAACGCGAGCGCCGCCTCCCAGAAGCTGCAAATCCAATCCAGGAACAAGTTCAAGACAGGACTCCAGAGCCGAGACAAGGTGTGGAAAGTTCTGTCTGGGCCCTGAAACGCGGCGGAAAGCAGAACCAGAACCACAGAATCAGGGCCTGGACCACAGCAGAAGCACAACAGGAAGGTTTTAGAGTCCAAAGAGGAACCAGTTATTGGAGATTTTTGCTATGTGGCGACAGGAATCTCATTTATTTCTAATAAATACGTTTATTCTAAAATGCACGACGACTGCTTTCTGTCTGTCGGTTAGACGCCTTTTAATAAAAAGTATAAATATTCAACTTTTTCTTTTGTAAATGTAAATGAAGTTTGTTTTTCTGATTTTCAACACCGAGATTTAAATAATAATAATAATACTTTTACACTGACTTTCTTTACAGCAAAAAAAAAGTCTAATTAGACAAAAATAAATTTAAAAACTCAACAAATACAAAAGATCTGAAAACAGCAGTTAAATCTGGTTAAAATAGTCAAGAAAAACCAAAAACACCAGTAAAAACCATTAAGATTAGTGTCACAAATGAACCTAACAACACTAAAAATTACAGTTTGTGTTACTAAAGGTTTGATTATATCTGATTAATCTACATATTAGGGATCAAACTTTACAAAAATAGGACTTTGCTTGACTATAACACATCTTAAAAGTGTTGATAATTATGGAGAACAAGCTAATTAACACGATAATGAAGCTACACGCTGCAGTTATGAGGCTAAACTCTACCGTTTATGGACTTTTTTATGTTTGTTTTTCTGCTGGATTGATTCTAAATGATCGGTTTTCAGTCTCCTTCATAACTAATAATCAGTATTTGCCATCGAAAACCATCAACCACAGCGGAAACGTAATAAAAAGTCAGTATTTATACGACTACAAAGACCCAACAGCAACCAACCCCCTGATGGAGACGACTCTTTATTAGATCAGATGCACCAAAACCACCGTGTTCTTGGTGAAACATTTCTTCAAAATCCGACCAGAAACCAGCCGACCAACGTTCTGGACCATCATGGAAACAGCAGAAACCAGCAGAACCAGTGGCTTCAGAACAAACACTCATCTGAGCAAAATGTGACCAAACACCAAAGCAAACATCAGAACAAGTGCAGCAGAAGCCGGATCGAAGGCGGTTCTCTTTAGTGGAACCATTTATGGACGAATAATTAAAACGAAGCTGCACATAAAAGAAAC